ACTGTAAAATTTGGTTTGCAGGACATATACTGTTTGGATGCTGATGGTGCCCTTTTTGATGCAGCTTTGCTTTCTGCAGTGGCAGCCTTCTCGCATCGTAAGTTTGTAAAGGGTTCTCGATTTTTGCTCAGATTGTTATGTAGGATAATTGCAGTATAAATTTTCTTTAAGCATTGAACTAAATTTGGGTATTTAAGATTGGACTAAATTTACGTATAATAAAATCAATTATTATATTGCAGTGCAAATCCCGATAGTCTCTCTCAATGATGACGGTCGAGTTGTTCTTGTATCCGAGGACAGCAAAGGAAGAGCCACAAAGCAAAGAGAACCCGTCAATAAAGGGAAGAGAAAGCTCAGGCTGAATGTGGTACCATTTGCACTAACATGTGTACTTTACAAGGACTACATTCTGGCCGACCCCACCTCTGAGGAAGAGTCGATTATGGAGACGTGTCTGACCGTGGTACTCAACTCGTCTTTTCAGCTCGTCTCGTTTAATAAACCTGGTGGGCCCGGTCTGGCACATGCATCAGCAATCCAGGTGAATTTTTCGCCTCTATTTATTTTCCTTTTCTCTTAACATCCTTTTATACTGAAAAGTAAAACTTTATATCTGGTAATCGGTCGAAAATAAGGTCTTCTGAAAAAAAAAAAAAAGAAAAAATCATCTTTCAAAGTTACAACTAACTGAGGTTTTGCAAACAGCCGGTTGAGGTTTGTATTTTCTTTATTAATTAATGCCTCTGTCGAAAATGGATTGTGCACTTATAAGGAATCCATGACATGCTTGCAGGACTGCATATCGTTAACGAGACAACGAGTGAAAGAACTTGAGAAGATTCTGAATGAAGCAATCTCTGATATGGAAGTCGACTGAGAGAATTTGTGCCGTAACAGATATTAGTCATTAGAGGTTTTTCATCGTTTGTTTTTGTTTATTTGATTTTCCCCTCGCCTTGTGTATCTTTTGTACTCGGTAGACAAAAATGAAATGCCTCGTATAGGTTTGGAGATGTGTTCATACTTCATAGACCTTAGCATTGTTTGTCAAGTATTGGTTTTGTCTTTTCAGCTTTTATATATTTGCTGGAAAATGTTGACAAGTGCCTAGTTGTGTCGGATTATAAATAGCATTGTGAGAGATTTTTCATTCATCTTGACTTCAGTTTCTTAGAACTTACATAGAATATTTGTTAAGAAAATGAAAGAATACTACAATAAAGATGCTTCAATAATCATATTATTATTATCACTTGGCCCCGCTACATACAGCAGACCAATAAAATACCTGCCCTATACTATTGTTGGGCCGAGCCTGTTAAAGACCGAACTACTATTCCGAGCAAATGATGTAAATGTTGGACCGAGCAGTTATAAATGAACCGAGCAGGTGTTATAACAATTAAACCGAGTTGGTGCTATAACAACTAGGCCGAGCAGGTACTGGTATATCAACTAGACCGAGGAGGTACTAACTATGCCGAGCAGGTACTGACTTATCAACTAAACCGAGCAGGTGCTAACTAGGCCGAGCAGGTACCGGCATATCACCTAGACCGAGCAGGTGCTATAACAACAAGGCCGAGCAGGTGCTAACTAGGCCGAGAAGGCGCTATAACAACTAGG